CTGACAAAGGTTCGGGTGTGGGGGGGAAATAAAATGGAATGCATAACTTCCAAACCACTATAGGTAAAATAAATTGATCCAACACAAAGTAGGGGGGAAAAAGGAACAGAAAAGCATGGTAAACAGATAATGCAAAAATAAATGGCAGACAGAAATAAATCCAAATATATTGTAATAACAATGTGAATTGGTTGCATTCACTTAAAAAGAGACAGTGACTCTCAGATTGTGTTAAAAATAAAAATTCACCTCTATACTGTATTAAATAAGATGATGGAAAAAGATAAACCAGTTTTCTAATAAAAAGAAAGCAGAAATTGCATTATCAATATAAGACAGAGTAGAATTTCAGACAGAAAGGACTAAAAGGGATACAGAGGGACATTTATTATTAAATGGTTATATTACCTAGAAAATATAACTCTTACAATCTTTTATGTAATTAACTATAGCTTCAAAATACATAATGTAAAATATGATATAAATATAAGGAAAAATTGTTACATCTACAATCATAGTTGAGAGGCTTAGCACATCTTTTTCAATAATCCACAGATTAGCAAAAAGATAGAGGATTTAAATTCCACACTCGATGAGCTTTAACTAATCTCTCTAATATAAACAACTTCGTACACAACACAAAATAACATTCTTTTCAAATGCACTTGATTTTAAGAAATGCTCAGGTATTAGAACATGCTTACTTATTCAACTGTTAAATCCCACCAATTTATTTTTTAAAAAGCAGAAAGAATAATCATAGGGGTTCACGTTTATTATTCATAATTTATTTATTTAGCAAATATTTATTGAATAATGTCCCAGGCCCTGTTTGTTTCAGGTACTGGAGATGTGGTAGCAAATAAGAAGCGATGTCTCAGTTCCCAAGGAGCTTACATCCTAAAGAGAGGAATCAAATAACACATAAGTAAATGAACAAGTAGTAAGTCCTGTAATGATTTCACACCACATACCTGTATCAAAACATTTCACGTACCCCATAAACATATGCATTTATCATGTACCCACAAAATTGAAAATAAAAAAAATTTTAAAAAAGAAAGAAAGTCAAACTCAATGATGCCAAAGAAGCTGCAGGGATATTTTAAATTGCACAATTAAAGAAGACCTTGAAGAGAAGATGACACAATATAATGAAATAAAATTAGACATTAATACAATCCCTACACCTAATCCAAAAATTTAAAAAAGACTCTTCTAAATGACTCTTGGGTTAAAGAGGAAATAAAAATCATGACTTCAAATTATGTAGATGAGAATGGAAATAAAACCACCAGATGTACAACCTGGGATAGAGTTATTAAGAGGGTCATTTACGTTTACATATATATTTGATAATAAGGAAGATTTAAATTAAATGAACTAGACATTTAACTCAAGAATATAGAAAAAGAACAGTAAACTGAATCTTAAGGAAATAGAAGGATGGAAAACTAAAGGTAAGAAAAAAGAGAGAAAACAAGACAAGAAGAAAAATATCACAATACAATTGATTATATTAATCAATTGTATAACTCAGATAAACTGAAGTTATCTGAGGAAAAAAATTGTCAATTCTGATCAAAGAAAAAAGAAGAGACAATAAACAGCATTGGGAATTGTAATTACAGATATAGAAGACAATAGGAAAAATATAATAAAATACAAGTCAGAATTTTATAACACTCAAAGTGAAATTCCAGACAAAATGGATCATATATTAAGAAAATATAAGTACACAAACACACATATGTTCATTGTGGCACTGTTTACAATAGTAAAAACTTGGCACCAACCCAAATGCCCATCAATGATAGACTGGATAAAGAAAATGTGGTACATATACACTATGGAATACTATGCAGCCATGAAAAAGGATGAGTTCATGCAGGGACATGGATGAAGTTGGAAACCATCATTCTCAGCAAACTGACACAAGAACGGAAAACCAAATGCTGTATGTTCTCACTCATAAGTGGGACCTCGCACTACACAGCTCCAACTTCCTGCAGTGATCAGAGCCCTGCAAGCAGGGGGCAGGGGGCCAAGGTATTGGAGGACTCCCTCCCAGCTCTAGAAGCCTCTTTCATGCGTGTGCGCGTGTGTGTGTGTGTGTGTGTGTGTGTGTGTGTATGTATGTATGTAAGGGGGCCAAGGTAATGGTGGACTCCATCCCAGCTCTGGCAGCCTCTTCTGTGTGTGTGTTTGTAGACAAGGTCTCGCTCTGTCACCCAGGCTGGAGTACAGTGGTGCAATCATAGTTCACTACAGCCTTGACCTCCTGAGCTCAAGTGATCCTCCCACCTCAGTCTCCTGAGTAGCTGGGGCCACAGATGCACGCCACCACACCCGGCAAATTGGACTTTTTTGTGGAGACAGGGTGTCACGACATTGCCCAGACTTCCTTTGTGCTAATAAAGCTTTTCTCATCTCCCTCTACAAAAGCATAATCTAAGAAGTTGAGGCTTAAAGATAGGTTAATGATAGGCTGCTTCATATAATCATCCTGCACATTAATAATAAAAAAAAAAAAAAAATACATGGACACAGGGAGGGGAACATTACACACTGGAGCCTGTTGCGGGGTGAGGAGCTAGGGGAGGGATAGCAGGGGATTAGGGGATTGAGGAGGGATAACATTAGGAGAAACACCTAATGTAGGTGACGAGGGGATGGATGCAGCAAACCACCAAGGCATGTGTATACCTATGTAACAATCCTGCACTATCTGCACATCCCTTACCCCAGAACTTAAATTATAATTAAAAAAGGGGGGGAAAAAAAAAGAAAATACAAGTAATTAAAACTGGCTCAAGAAGTAGAAAACTTGAATAGACCAATAAAGACATAAATATTTGCCTTCAGCCTCGTTCCCGGGCAGTATAAAGTTTGCTATTCTGTTCACCCTCGTTGCATAGTAGTGCTAGTGGCTTCGTGGTTCGGTCCTTGGACCCGGCAGCCGCCACTGGTACTTAGCTCCTAGGAAGCCCCTCTCGGTGAGCTCATTGGAGCTTGAACACATTGTCTCACCAGCAAAAAAACCCCCTGACTCACCGGCAAAAAAAAAAAAAAAAAAAGGTTGAAGCAGATCACCCAGGAAAGCTCTTCATTGGTGGGCTTAATATGAAAAAGCTCTTGAAGCAGTATTTGGCAAATATGGACGAATAGTGGAAGTACTCTTGATGAAAGACCTTGAAACCAACAAATCAAGAAGATTTGCTTTTGTCACCTTTGAAAGCCCAGAAGATGCTAAGGATGCAGCCAGAATCATGAATGGAAAGTCATTAGATGGAAAAGCCATCAAAGTGGAACAAGCCACCAAACCATCATTTGAAAGTAGTAGACATGGGCCGCCTCTACCTCCAAGAGGTCTTAGAGATGGAAGAGGAGGAAGTGGAGGAACCAGGCGACCACCCTCCTGGGGAGGACACATGGATGATGGTGGATATTCCATGAATTTTAACATGAATTCTTCTAGGGGACCACTCCCAGTAAAAAGAGGACTACCACCAAGAAGTGGGGGTCCTCCTCCTAAGAGATCTGCACCTTCAGGACCAGTTGGCAGCAGCAGTGGAATGGGAGGAAGAGCTCCTGTATCACATGGAAGAGATAGTTACGGAGGTCTACCTCGAAGAGAGCCACCGCCCTCTCGTAGAGATGTTTATTTGCCCCCAAGAGATGATGGGTATTCTACTAAAGGCAGCTATTCCAGCAGATTACCCAAGTTCTCATAATACAAGAGATTATGTACCACCACCACGAGATTATACTTACCGTGATTATGGTCATTCCAGTTCACGTGATGACTATCCATCAAGAGGCTATAGCGATGGATAGAGATGGATATAGAGATGGGCTATAGAGATGGATAGAGATGGGCTGTAGAGATGGATATGGTCGTCACCGTGATTATTCAGATCATCAAGTGCAGATTCCTACAGAGATTCATATGAGAGTTATGGTAACTCACACAGTGCTCCACCTACACGAGGGCCCCCGCCATCTTATGGTGGAAGCAATCACTACGATGTTTACAGCAGCTCACGTGATGGATATGGTGGAAGTCAAGGCAATTACTCAAGTAGCCAAAGTGATCTCTACTCAAGTGGTCGTGATCGGGTTGGCAGACAAGAAAGAGGGCTTCCCCCTTCTATGGAAAGGGGGTACCCTCCTCCATGTGATTCCTACAGCAGTTCATGCTGAGGAGCACCAAGAGGTGGTGGCAGTGGAGGAAGCCGATCTGATAGAAGGGGAGGCAGAAGCAGATACTAGAAACAAACAAAACTTTGGACCAAAATGCCAGCTCAAAGAAACAAACAAAAAGTGGAAACTATTCTGTCATAACTACCCAAGGACTACTAAAAGGAAAAATTGTGTTACCTTTTTAAAATTCCCTGTTAAGTTCCCCTCCATAATTTTTATGTTCTTGTGAGGAAAAAAGCAAAATATGTTTAATTTTATTTGACTTTATGACATTGCTTTTCAATAAGTAAATGTTAAATGTGTTAAGACTTGTTGTACTCGTGTTGCAACTTTCCAAGTAAAAGTGTCCCTAAAGACCATTTCCTATATGATTTTTCCCAGTAAGTGAGGCAAGCAATTCTAAGATCTTCCACAAAACATCTAGTCACCTGAAATGGAGAGATGAATCATTCTGCCTATACAAACAAACTAGCTATTAAAGTTTGGAGTATGCTACTCATAAGATTTCAGGGTGTCGTCCAACTAAAGCCTCCATGTTCTCAGTATGAAAAACCTGAAATCAGATACCTATGTAAGGAAATATTCACCTAGTAAACCTAAAAAAGCAAATGGATAATGCTGGCCATTTTGCCTTTCTGATATTTCCTTGGGAATCTGCAAGAACCTTCCCTTTCCCCTTGCCCAATAAGACCATTTAAGTATGTGTTAAACAACTACAGAATACTAAATAAAAAGTTTGGCCAAAGCCAACCACGAAAAAAAAAGACACAACAATTTTACTGCAGGCTGAGCATGGTGGCTCATGCCTGTAATCCCAGCACTTTGGGAGGCCGAGGCAGGTGGACTGCTTGAGGTCAAGAGTTTGAGGCCAGCCTGGCCAACATGGCAAAACCCCATCTCTGCTAAAAATACAAAAATTAGCTGAATGTGGTGGCACGCACCTGTAGTTCCAGCTACTCGGGGTTGAGGCATGATAATCACTTGAACACAGGGGGCGGACGTTGCAGTGAGTCAAAATTGCGCCACTGTACTCC